CAAACAATCATTGTCTTTAAAGCTCAATTTGGAAGGAGTACAAATACAAATATGTACACTGCAAATACATACAAAAGAATACAAAATATAAGGTTTTGCACTCTACAAATTTGCATTTGTATCCTTCCAAACTGAGCCTAAAGGCAATATCTCAAAAGCTTAGGCTGAGTTTGAAAGGAATACAAATGCAAATATGTAGAGTGCAAAACCTTATATTTTGTATATATTTACGCCGTACATATTTGCATTTATACACTTTCCAAACTGAGCCTTAATAGTCTTTTTATCATTAAATTACTGAAAAATCTTTCCAGAAAAATTTGCCAAACTACACATTGTTTTGTTTGAATGGAACCCGAAGTGAAGCGCCTCAAGGCTCCAACTAGGACTTAACAACTTGATCTGGTCAAATGGAGACAATTTGACCTCGACCAAACCCATCCCATATATACTACTACACATATACTTAACCAAGACAAAGTATACTAACATTTGAATGTTGTACTAGTTGGGATTCGTGCGTTGCGCGGGCTTTCTAAAATAAAATTGGAGCAACAGGAGCCTTATAATATCGCCAAGTAAACTTAAGCCTTATAGTTAATTTTTAACCAAATTATTGTTTTGGGGGAAAATAGTAAAATAGTGGGAGAGGGACAAAGATGAGATGCTGATATGAACAACTGACTTCCCACAATACCCCAAATAATAGTAAAATAGTGGGAGGGACAAAGATGGGATGCTGATATGCTGATATCAACAACTGATTTCCAACAATACTAATTGCTGCCATTAAAGTTCATGCTTGTATGTTTTAATTCAAGGAATATGTTCCTCGTGCATGGTGAAGCCAATGTGAGGACCAATTTTGTGAGGAGGAATTCCACATTGGCTTGAAGACCTTGGCATCATTACTAAGGCAAGTGGATGGGAGTTTTGTGTTAATTAAGCAATCAATACTATCAATCAAAATGTTTTTTTTTTTTTTTAAAACCTAACATTTATTCTAACTGACTAATAAAATTTAAACCAAGTTTTAATTTATCTAAGATAATTAACGTTGATTATAAATTATTGTCAATGTTTATCATTAATTTGAGTTATCAATACATTCAAATTTATTGTTAATTAAATTACCGTAACAGTAATATATTTTATTGGTAATTTACTAAAATTTAATAACAATTAATTATCAATATTATAATTAACAATAATTACTGTTATTCGTCAGTAATTATCAATAAATTACTGTATTTAATAGATAGTCACAGTAATATCATCACTTTAAACTTATGAAAATTCTCCCTTTTCTAAATAGCCACCCAAATAAGAAAAATAGATTTCAGCATTGTTCGTCCGGACGTGACTACCCAAACAACCAGCACAATAACATTATTGTCTCCCCTAAACCCAGCAGGCCACTAACACTCCTAATTGGGGATAGTTATCTATCAAATAAGCAATGTAAAATATATGAATTTCATTTACTTTACAAATAATGCAGGGCCCGTGTATAATACGAATCTATTAAAATAGTTGACGAATGGACACTGTAAATCATACAATACCCATTTATAATATGGGTCGAACCCGAAATAAATGGGTGCTATCACACGGCCTCATGTACGGTATAAATCTCATAGACAACAAATCACTCAGGAGTCTGTACACACCAACCCCACAACACGTTTCAGTTGCATCGGCCATATGCAGACTTGGCAAAAAAGTTGACCCAACCCAACCTGGAAAACAGGGTCAATGTCTCATATCCAGCTACCTGAATTTGAGATTGACCCGACCCGACCCAGGAAAATTGGCTTGGGTCGGGTTGGGTCATGGGTCAACTCATTGATCCGATTGTCAATTTTAATGGGGACTATTTATGTATTGTTAAAAGTTTCCACCATTTAATTTTTACTATTTAGTCTCTTACTCTTTATCATTTACTCTTTGAATTGTTGAATGCTTAAGTTTTTATATCATGTTTGGAATTTTAAGGTTAATTCCTTCAATTTTGATATTTTTATATATATTTTTTTATTTTTTAAATTTATAGTTATTTTAAAAATGACCCGAATTGACCCATGGGCCAATCCTAACCTGAACATTTAGGGTCAAAATCCAGCATTTGTTGATCCAACCCAAAATCAACATAAAATGTCTTGATCCAACCTGAACCCGACCCACCCAACCCAATTGTCACATCTAGGCACATTTCCCATACTTATATATATTGTTATTATTGGGGATGTGAGAGAGTTTTGAGAGGTTTCAAGAGGTATAGATATTTTAGTAGGTTGTTGTATAATTGATCAATTTATTAATTCGTATTTGTATATAGACTATACAATGAAAATAACCTATTCAAAAATCAATATAAAAATTGAAGGACATTAAATTATGTTAATAACTTAAGGGAAATTGTCAAAAACTCACCATGAGTTTTCAGCATTTCTCTTAAATTCACCACAACTTTTCAGAATGTCTAAAACTCATCAAGTCACTAACTTGATGTTAAAGAGACTTACGGTTGTTAATATATTACCATTTTAACCTTCATAGAAAATATAAAATATATACATATATTTTAATAGTTAGATATGAAAAAAAAAGGAAAAAAGCTCAAAAAATATTTTCAAATATAAAATACATAAAAACACAGAAATTGCAAAAATATAAAAAATTATAGAAATTGCACACAAAATAAAAAATTATTTTCAAATTATAGAAACTATAGAAATTGAAAAACAAAATCAAAAAATAAAATTGTAGAAAAAACACCAAAAATTATAGAAAAACACAGAAATTTCAAATAAATAACAAAAAATGCAGAAAATTTTATAGATTGTAGAAAATAGAAAAATGTAAAAAAAAAAAAAGAAATTATAAAAAAACATTAGAAGTTATAACAAAACACTAAAATGTAAAAAAAGAAAATGAAAAAGACTCCTTTCCTCTAACTTGCCATTCAAGGGTGATTTGGTCATAAAAATTGTTATTTATGCTGATATGGACACCTCTGTTAAGAAACATTAATGGTACACTAACGGAAGGTGAGTTTTGAAAAATAAAAACTTGTTGACATGGTGAATTTTAGACGTTTTGAAAAGTTGTGAATTTAAGAGAAATGCTGAAAACTCATGGTGAGTTTTAGACAATTTCCCATAACTTAATTACACCATTTAATTAATTTAATAATTGAAAATAACTTAATTAAGCGAAGTAAGTTAAGTTAATTAAATTAGTTAAGAAAATTCAGTTCTTAAGTTTCAATTACATCTTTTGATCGTCTAAATATTTATAAAAGGTGTTTTAGTAATATTCCAATCATTTGCATCATGCAAGTATTTGATGATTTCTTTATTCACATGAAAAGAAAAGAATCTTTCTTCCTTTATTGCGCCAAAGAACAAAACACCAAGAAAAAGTAGAAGTAAATGTTTATTTTTTTTTTTTGAAAAAAATAGAGGTAAATATGGGTCCTTCAACTGCAAGGCTGTACAGATAAGATTTTGGAAGCTGAAATGTCTAATCAGATCTTGTTTCTGGTTAATTTACAATTAATCAACGTTAATATAATAAGTAGCTTGACGTTATAAAATGGGTTGTAGAACTGGTAACCTTCATGTTTATTTCAGGACGGGTCCTATCTCGTTTTACATATCATCATCATCTTCTTCACCCAGTCACCCGTACGCACGTATATTCCAAAATGGGTTTGGACGGCATGGTGAAGAAACGCCAAGATTTACAGTGTGGATTGGCTTCAGAGATCCCAACTCCCAAGGAAATGAAGATGAAACGGAAGAAGAAAATTTTGTCAGTGCTAAGAATACTCTCACCTCCCTTCTTTGCGCTCTCCATTTAGAAAATATGAAGGATCCTTTTTTAATTGTGCAATTTTACCCGAAGAGGCAAGGGTGTCAATGGACTGTTTTTGGATTGGATCCGTCCAGTCCAAAATAATTTGGACGAATTGGATGGACCGACAAGACATATTAGATTGGACCAATTTGATCCAAAATAATTATTAGATTGGATTGGACCTGGTCCATCCATAATAAATTTATATTGGATTGGGTTGGATTAAGCCAATATCTGGTCCCTTGATATAAAAGAAGAATATAGGTGTCAATGGATCAGATTTAGGTTGAAACCAATCTAAAACAAAACGAATTCGAACAGATTGGATAGTCCAGACATTGAATTGGATTGGTCCAAAATATTAATTGGACTGGATTGGACCTGATCCATTTATAATGGGCTTGCATTGGACTGGATCAGATTGGACCAAATCCAATCCAATTGACACCCGTACAAGGAGGTAGACCAACGGTTGCATCATTGCTGCTGTGTTTAGTTGCAATACAAATAAATTTGTGCTGATGCAAAACCCATAGCAGTGCAAATGATTTAAGTGTAAATTCTGACATATTTTTGTTTCAAATTTCAACTTATTTTATTTGATTTCAATGCAAATAAAATAAATTAAGACATGAAGTAGAATTAAGTAAAATCCAAATCAAAATTAAGCAAGAATTTACATTTTAACTTCCATATAGTTGTATTAGTAAAAACAAAAATTGCATTGCAACCAAACACAGCGTACAGAGGAAAAAATAACGACAATTCAACTCTCTGAAAAATAAGAATTAAGAAATTTGATGGAATGTTATCATGTTGAAGGAAAAATAATAAAAAAAATTGATATAACGCTACAAATTTCAAAGGGTAGAGTTATTTTCTCACTTAAGAAGTCTAATAAAAGAAAGCAATTGGCTCACATATAGTAATAGGAGGCATTGTGGACATGGTAATAACTAATAGAATAATAATTAATTTGTTATTTTTAATTAAAACATGTAGAAAAGTCAAAAAAGTATGTAACCTAATCTACTAGGCTTCACCCTTAAGTCTTAACCTAATCTTCTCATTTCGATAACCAAGTCATCGTCAGCATTAATTGAGTTTGGGATGTGGGTAAGGGGTTCTCCCCATACGGAAGTAAATAATGGAAGCAACCGCCCACCGAACCCTCTGAATGTTCAGCAATTAGCTGCTTTGAAACGCTCTGGTCTCCGGATAAGCTATATTCAAAGAGGATGAGGACAGCCCTTCAAATTAGCCGATTTGGGCTCTCCCGATTTTTCACCAAACATATAGCTTCAGTGTAGAGCCCACCTCGGAAAGCCAGAAGCAGCGCGCTGCGCTTCGAGCCTTCTCTACCCTCTCAAACGGTCACTTTATCAACTTTTGGGCTAGCAGTTACACCTGGTCCTGGTGATTCGTTAAGCTTGGATTGCACTGGTTGGGGACACAAACGTCAGCATGAGTTCATGTTTGATAAGTCCATGGCTGCTTGGAGTGCACGGGCTATGGAGTTAGAAGCAAGAAGAGACCGTTTCAATGGGTTGCTACTTGCTAGAGTACATCTACATTCATTAAATTCTTAAACTGAGATAAATCGATACATTCATATCGGAACCCAGATGCCGCTTGATTCAATACATTGGATATTACACCACGATTTATCTCAATCAGCATGCGAATCAGTACTCAGGTTTTCCACATTGAAGTAACCCTTTAAAAAATGGCAGAAAAGAAGCTCCCACCAATCCATAGCCGTTCAAGTTTGCTCATTCTCCGGCCACTGTGACTAAGTCATTTAAGAGAGAGAGAGAGAGTGACGTGTCTTATAAGAGGTTGGATTCTCTTCTTGAACAGCATCCATGAGGAGTGGAGAACTTATAAGAGGTTGGATTCTCCTACCAGGAAGAACAATTGAGATAGCAGTTCATTGACTTCAGTCATATGTCGGTAAGCAATTCTAATTTTATCTCCTCCAACTTTTTTGTTTATCATTATGAGTCTTCTAAATTCTAACTTGTAAATAAAGGTTGATCATACTTAATTTGGAGGGATGATGCTAATCTTTTGGAGCTCAGATAGATTACATAGTGGTTAACTTTGGAGTATTAATTAAGATGAACCAAAAAATTATCAGCCCATAAACAGCGTTTGTAAATACGAAAACTAAATGAAAACTCTGGGAAAACAAGTTCCTTTTTTTTTCCTTTTGTTTCTTTCATTCTTTGGCAAACCCAGAAAAAAAACTCGTCTGGAAAACAAGGTAGAGTTCATAGGTAATAACAGATTTGCTCTTCAAATTTTCAGTTAAAGCTAAACTATCAGGTAATAGTTTAATCTCAATAGAATTTTCTTTAGTTATAAAAAATTGAAGGTAATAACAGATTGACTCTTTGTAAGGATTTGGAGATTTAAATTGAACCATTCCAAGTCAGAGAAATTGCTTCACATGCTATCACTAGGTACTGCCCCATGCCTCAACTTTGGGGCACGGACAGACCATTTTACAGGCTTTAATTTTTCAAGGTAATCCGCTGCAGTCATCTTCTTGAGAGCTGAGAAGGGAAAGAACTGAAGCAAAGAGCCAAAAGAGTACCACTTTGACCAAGTTTACTATATTCCCTACCTCCTTCCCAAAAGAAAACAAGAAAATAAAAATCAGAACCCTGTTATTTTTCAGAAGAAAAAAAGAAAAAGAAAAGGATCAGAGCTCTGACAGAATGGTAGTTTTGGATTTTTGGGTGATCCCATCTGCCTCCAAGTATCCTAATCTTACTGAGTGGTTTCTCAGGTTCTCTAACACATGCCAACTATCAATACTTTAAGCTTCCTTTGTGGCTTTTAGAATCAGAACTCTGACAGAGCTACACTCTTAGTTGATTTCTATCAGTCTCCAAGCATCGTAATCTTAACAAGAGGTTCTCAGGTTCTTTAATATCCGCTTACTGTTCATATTTTGGTACACTCTTGATCTGTGGCTTTTAGAATTCTGAGACAACAAAAAGATGTCTCCAAAGAGCACTTGCATCCAAGAAATCTAAAGTCCCAATTAATATTTAATCAGCATTAGCCCCAAACTAATGCAAGTATGACAATTGAGGGCCCTCTTTGGTTTGTTCGTCATTCTCCCAACTTTGGGTGGTTCACTTCATTTTGATAATTTGATAACTTGATAAGTTCCTAGAAATTTCTCTCTAATTACCCGAGTAATACTTTGCACTTCAACACATTATTACATTGTCATCCCCTTCACTGGATACACACAAGGCCAAATTCAGTCATTCTAGGAACTTATCAAGCTATAATAGTATCAGAGACACTAGTCCTGTTTAGTAGGCAATCCATAGCAGGACTGAATGGGTCTTACATTCCTAGAGAAGTCCTAAACTTGCCTTTTTAGTGCAGGTTTATCAAGGGGCATGAAAAAAAAAAGCTAATTATTTCTCCTAAAGTAGGGCTATTTATTAAGAAACACTTTCATGCACCTGAAAGGGCAAACCTATTGCATGGTCCTTAGCTAATTCTAAGTATGTTCTTTTGATTTTGTCATACTGCACAGTTTGAACTAAGTTGTTTCAAATTATATATTTACATATGAAATAAAGTATAATGATAAACTAGGCCCTTGGTGGGTCAGTGTGTTTGAGACTCTCTTTCTGATGGAAGGATTTTCTTCTTCTTTTTCTTCTTGACTTGAGTTTACATAATAAGTAGCCAGTTGTTGGAAGTGTAAAAGCAACTTGGGAATGGTCCCATGCTACAACCAAAATAACCTGTTTCGTTTCCTTTTCAGCTGGTTGAAGATACAAGTCCAATTGTAGTTCTTGGACAGACATTATTGGCTACAATTTCTGAGATCACAGCCTCAGTTGTATGTGTTGAGATAGAACAGGAGAACTTCATGGAAGTTGGATGCTATCTCGATCGAACTTCTCCAGCAATAATTGAGTTGCAGTTTAGTGAGAATAAACCACTAAATGCAATTGAGATTCTACAAACTCTAACTAAAAGCATCAATCATGCCAAGGATCTCATGGAAAAATGTCGTACCAAAGGCCATTCAATTCTAGATGCAGAAGTCAAAAGCATAATAGAACAACTGGAGGGAGTGATAAAAGACATAGGTGAGGGGTTGAGCTTAATACCATCTTCAATGTTCAAAGAGCAGGAATATGCAGAAGTTGCAATCAGGTCTCTTTCACAGGAGATGCAAAATGTTCACTTTAAAGTTAGTCCAACTGAAGCATCAGATACCAAAGATGCAGTACAGGTCCAGTCTCTTTCAGAGGAGATTCAAAATGTTAAGTTTGAAAACAGTCAGACTGAAGTACCAGAGACTAAAGAGACAATACATGTCCAGCCTCTGAAACAGTTACCAGAGGAAGAACACACAGCAATAGAAACAGATCTTTATTCCATCAATGCCGAGTTTTTCACTGATGATCTCCAGTCAATAGATATGCTACATCTCACCGGCTCCCCTAAAGGCATGAAATTCATTGATCAAGTGAGCCTTAGAAACAGTAGTAACCAGTATTTGAAAACATTGCCACAGGTGGCTGAGTACATTGAGCCTCTATATGAAGCTTTCATATGTCCACTCACACAGAAAATCATGGATGATCCAGTCACCATTGAAAATGGAGTGACCTATGAGAGGAGGGCTATAACAGAGTGGTTCAAGAAGTTTGAAGATAGTTCAGGTGTAATCTGCCCAACCACAGGGAAAAAACTATCAACTAGAGATTTAAACACCAATGTAGCTTTAAAGACCACAATAGAAGAGTGGAAGGAAAGAAATGAAGCAGCAAGGATAAAAGTTGCCCGGGCAGCTTTGTCATTAGCCAGCTCAGACAATATGATCCTTGAGGCACTAAAGGACTTGCAAGATCTCTGCCAACAGAAGAAACAAAATAAAGTACAGGCACGTAACATGGGAATGTTATCATTACTTGCTCATATTCTGGAGTATAAAGACAGGAAGGTTAGGTGTGCAACACTGGACACATTACGGTTACTAGTCAAGGAAGATGATGAGGGCAAGGTTTAATTCGTTCTAACTTCTAACCATGAAATATTGTTATTTTTCCTTTACCAATGCAACACAAATTTAATGAGGAGCAACTAATGCTTGACTGATCCCTGCATTACACCATGGTTTTTATAATTGACTAGTTATGTGGTTGTACTGGATGACCATTTCTTCTAGTTATCATTTTTCATGTCTTATATATAAAATAAGTTTAATATTCCATATAAGGGAAATCTCTTTCAATTATGACAATTTTTTTCAAAATTAATAGGCATATTGGGTTCGTTTGGGTTAAAACATGTCTGACATTGGCAAAAGAGTTTAACATTCCATATAAGGGAAAGTGACTTCTTTAGGAGATGGACACTATAAATCGAAAAAGTTTTTTATACTTGCTACTTGTTGGGAATTTGACATTTCTGACCATAGGTATAAAACCTTCACTGCATATTTCCTTCTTTCCTTGCCTACATGGTGTTATTCCCTGTATATCATGATGATGTTCCTATTCTATGGTATGACAACAAAACAGTAACTGTATTATGTAACTATATGAAACTTTTGATTGGTCAATGGGGGGGGGAGAGACTTCAAAAATGAAAACTTACATCTGATAAATTGCAACATGGTTTGGATCTCTTTGCAGGATATCATTGAACAGACAAAGGCAATTCCAACAACAATCAAAATGTTGTCAAGTAACTACCTTCCAGAGAAACATGCATCTTTGCTGTTCTTGCTTGAGCTTTCTAGGTGCAAATCACTTTGTGAGAAGATTGGATCAGTTACTGGGTGCATTCTGATGCTGATCACAATGAAATACAACTATTCTTATGATCCCTTTGCTGCTGAGAAAGCTGATGAAATCCTACAGAATTTGGAAACATCTTCAAAAAATGTTATGTGCATGGCAGAGAATGGCCTTTTGGAACCACTTCTACACCATCTTATTGAAGGTATATCATCAAATCTTGCAGCATCATCAGTATCCCTCTGTGTGTTATCATCTGCACATTCACTTATGCAGAGATGACAAAAACCTAATACTGTAGTTTTCCATGTAGGCATTCCTTCTACTTGTTTCTTTTTCCTGAGACTGATATTCCTCAGAAGGGGGTGGAAGTTGTGTGAGATAATGTCTTAATATTTCATGATATGCATCACTAGTTCAACAAAACCTTCTGATCAAATATATTCTCTTTAAGATTCATTAAATTTTGAATAAACTATTTCAATACATACTATGGTAGAATAAATGGCTGATATTCACAGGTTTTACATGTGAGCATCATCTTTCTGGCATGTCTCCAAAAAAAAAGTTCTTTTGTTATGTTTGATCTTGTTAGGCTCACAACAACCACCAACAGGATGAAACCACAGTGTTTGAGATAAAACAACAACCAAGAGAACCCAATAGAAACATAAAAACAAAGTAAATCCAATCAAATACAAGAAAAACAAGTTCTGCGAAGTTGCCAAGAACATAAAGGATTTATGTGGTTCAGCCTTACTTCCTATGTCCACGGGAGAGATGAAACCATTCTTCAGTATAAAAGAGAATGAGAAGCAATACAGGTACCATGTGGTTTGGAACCCAAACTAACCCTTAACTCTTGTACACCTGTTTTCCCTTTCCTCTCTCAAACCTAAAGAACCCAAACAACAGGGAAAAAACACTCTCACACCAAGAGCACCCTCTCTCACTGCTTCTTTTTCTCTCTAAAAATCTCTCTCACTTTCCACATACAAAAGAAACCTTTTATTATGCAAAGCCCACTGTAACTTAAAGTGGGACCACACACACCATTAGGTTACAACCCAATGCAAAGGTTAAAATAGGACATAAACCAAACAGATCTTACATAAATGAAGACAAAATGAAGCAACCATGAGTCCATGATAAAGATGTTTCCTATCTTCTCTTGAGTCAAGATCACCTGGAATTTGAGTAGATACTGGTTTTTCCACTTAAAAACATAAAATTGTTATTTGATCAGAAAATTGAACAAGTTATTTATTTTGAAATGTCTTCACTATTTGTTTCTGAGAAAGTTCCCTTTAGGAGGTCTATATCCATCCATAAATGAAAATTTGGAAATACCATTTTCATGAATGGCTTATAATCGTCAATTGAGAATCACTAAACTACTAAACTTTCTAAATAGATATATGTGTTATATCTCCCAAGAAACCATAACCAGATGGTTTGCACCAATTTAACTCAAATATCTAGCAAGACTCTACCACTTCTGTTTTCTTAAAAATTTGAAACAGGTACAGAAGAGATGCAAATGGAAATGGCAAGGTGCCTTGGAGAAATTGTTCTTGCACGGCAGATCAGAACACATGTGGCTGAGAGAGCTTCTCCACCTCTGATTAAGATGGTGCACAGTGGAAACTCCCTAACAAGGAAGGCAGCATTAAAAGCTCTAGTTCAGATCTCATCCTACAGCCCTAACAGAAGAATACTTGTGAATGCTGGTACGGTGCCAATCATGATTGAAGAGATTTTCAAAAGGACAATCGACAATGAGCCCATGGATGCTAAGGAAGAATCTGTTGCAATCCTTGCAAATATACTTGAGTCTGATCAAGCTCCAGAAGACCTCCAAGTAAGCACCCAAGGTCGCACAATGGCATCAGACCATGTTGTGTACAAAATCATCCAGATGTTGAAGAGTTCATCCCAAGATGAAGTCAAATTCAACCTCATTAGGATCCTCCTCTGCCTCACAAATGCCCCTAAAGCAACAGTGACCATTGTTTCTGTTGTCAAAGAGACTGAAGTCAGCTACAACCTGATAGAATTGATCAATTCTCCACATGAGAAACTTGGAATTGCATCAATTAAACTCCTCATAACACTTTCACCCTACATAGGGCACACACTTTCTGAAAGGCTCTGCAAGACTAGAGGTCAACCAGAGAGCCTAATCAAGAAGCCAACTGAAATAAACCAAATCACTGAAAAACATGCAGTTTCAGCCAACTTCCTAGCTAGGCTTCCCCGCCAAAACCTAACACTCAATCTAGCCCTCCTCCACAAGAACACAGTCCCTACAATCCTTGAAACAATAAATGAAATCCAAATAACTGGATCAAGAGCAAGTAGGTTTGCTATTTCATACCTAGAAGGCCTAGTAGGCATTCTTGTCAGATTCACAACTACACTATACGAATCTCAAGTGCTACTACTAGCAAAAAGCCATAACCTCGCATCAGTTTTCACAGAACTACTCATAAGAACAGAAAGTGATGAAATTCAGAAACTATCAGCAATTGGGTTAGAGAACCTTTCGTCAGAATCCATAAATCTATCAAGACCACCACAACTTAAAAAATCCAACTCCAAGATAACCAGGCTTCTGTCATTTCATTCATCAAAGGAGCGGAGTACACAAATCTGCCCAGTTCACAGAGGAGCTTGTTCTTCACAGACCACCTTTTGCTTGCTTGATAACAAGGCTGTGGAAAGGCTGTTGGCTTGTTTGGACCATGAAAATGTTGAGGTGGTTGAGGCTGCGCTCTCGGCTCTATGTACCTTGTTGGATGACAAGGTCGATGTGGACAAGAGTGTGAGTTTGTTGAATGAAATGAATCTCATCCAGCATCTCTTGAATGTTATGGGGGAGCATAGAAAGGAGAGTGTGCAACAAAAATCATTCTGGCTGGTTGAGAGGTTCTTGGTGAGAGATGGAGGCAGATCTGTTTCTGTTTTATCACAGGACAGGTTCTTGCCTTCTATATTGGTAAGTGCTTTCCATGGCGGAGATGTAAACACAAGGCAGATGGCTGAGAAGATTTTGAGGCATTTGAATAAGATGCCAAACTTCTCAACACCCAAATTCTAAATATGTTTTCAGATTTACTGGTTACAGTGCAAGAACCAAGATCAAAATATGCAACAATGCTCTGACTTTGTTAGTAGAATTTGAACAAAATTCCATCAATACAAGTGGGACGTATTGCCTGCTTGACTAAAGAATGAGCTAGTGTTAAAGATCCTGAGTGCAGCTATGTAATATTGTAATGTAACTTTGGATTAAGTGCCACCTCCAATAGCTCTCTAAGGCTAATAACTTCTGCACATTCAGGGGTACTTCGCTGTAAATGTTCTGATAGAAGTAGCAATGAATCCGTCTATCCCTTGTTAAATACCCTACTACTGCTGCGGATTTCAAGTCTTTAGTAGCTGCTTCAACAAACCACAAGGAATAATCAGCGTCTCTGGGATGGTTGCATTGTATATGCAAGTGAAGCCTATGGCCGTGATCTAATGTGTTCAAAAGTTGGGTACGTAGGATTAAGGTCCCTATGTGTCACAACTGCGACATGCAGGAGAAACTGATCAATGGCTCCCGACACCAAACTAGCAAGATCATTTGTCAAAAATCAACATAAACCGGATGGTCGTAGCCCATAGGCACCAAATTGATGGCTAAAATCATCTGATACAAAATAAAGATTGTATCGGATAGGTTTCAGAGAACAGAACAACCCACTCGATGATCCCATAAGATCACATGCCTTGGGTTTCAGCTCCTCGTGATAAAAAACCATAATTCTCAACCGCATACTTGAAGTGTTTGTCTCTTCCAAGGACAAACAAAATGGAGATCATCGACTTTTGGGCTGGAGGAAAAAGAAAAAAGAACTTTTGGGCTGGAGACATCTGACCTATAGAATCACCCGATAATAGTATTTGTTCAAACTTCAAAAGTTGAGCAAGGCCAGCTGATGCTAAATTGTAAGGCTGCAAGCCTGCAATGCTTAAAATCAGGATATTTCCGCTCTTTTGCAACCATGGATCATTAACTTAAAAGGGTGAATAAAAAAAAGGAAAAAGAAAGAGAAAAAATGGCATAACAACATCAGCAGGTAAATGTGTAGGGGCCGGGGAGATTTTGGCAGAGAACTTTATTTTAATGCTAGCATAGTTTTAAATGAAATTTCAGAATATACAAGTTTTGGGGAACTACACTGAAATGTCAAATTGAATATTTCGCCTAGATATTTCAGACAAAGTTTCAGAATATTTTGGAATAATTTTTACATAAATTTTCGAACATTTTAAAATAACCAAAGTTTCATTTTTTACAAGGTTTAGCGGTATTTTTTTCGGCTTTATAAATCTTAAAGAATTATATTTGTGTTTTTGACGGCAGAAATAATGATTTATCAAGATTCCTAAGAATTGAAATGAACATTCCGGAATTCCCCATGTGGCCATGTCAATTTGAATTTCACTAAAAACCATTTGAAATAACCTAGGCTCTTAGGAATCTCTTACCACATAGAATTTCATTAAAATCAAAAGCTGACAATACAGACTTTGTGGAAATGGATTCAAAGCGCAAAAATTGATAGTTTCAACCCTGAGCCAATTTACTTGCTCTCTTCTTTAATTATTAGTTATGATGGTGCGTGATCTGAATGTTCTTAGCTGGAGGGTAGTTTGGACGTCGGTCCATTTTACTGGTTGGTCGAATTGCAAGAAAAATGACACTTAGAGGACCCGGGGTGGTTTACCCGGTGTGGGTGCTCTAATGCATAAATTAGTATTTTGTGTGCGAGCTGAAAACTTGTATGTTAGAAGGCTAGTGAACAAATAATCACGCGTACCTTGTGTCATTTGGGTTGGTGCCTTTATGTAGATGAATTGTCGTAGACCTTATGAAAACACCTCCGAGATCCCCGGTCCATGCTACTAGGAATCCATTCTGCACCAAGAGGTGGACTTAGTGTTAGCTGATAAGGCTTATCGAGTCCGTTCGATCCAAACAGGATAAAGATAAGGCTTGCAAACATACGGCGTGATCCCGGAGCATTTGGAGACAGTTGGCTAGCTTCTAAAAGTTGGCTACGTGTCACCTCGACAGGTCGAGCCATCACGAGCTGCTCGGACCTCGGTCTTGGTCGAGGTACCCAAGTTGACCTACCTCACTGAGGTGGCAGGGACTGTCAAGTCATCATCTAGTCAGTAGGTCGCTTTCACATGTCTGGGTGTGGATAGGTCGGGCCAAATTACCCCTCATCAAGTTAGGAATTCAAGATTTCCACCAGTCTTCATGTGGGTCACTACTATTCTCCCAAGACATTTGTTCTGCAATGCCTGTTCTTTGTTTTTAGGTTTTGTTATTTTTTTGAGAATGTGTTTATCCAAGTAAATATATTTAGTAAAAACCATACTACACTCCACTTCAGAATACTAAATTCCACTGCAGACCTATATAATAATTCAAAATTTAAAATACCCCCACCTATAACACCAATAGCTGCCCATGTATTGGTATCAATTTTGAGCTGACACCTACCCCAACTGTACGATAGAGCTAAGATTTGTTGGGGTGGACTGAACAATAAAAATCCCATATATTTATTCATGTTCTTTTGTAAGAAATGTTAACAAGGTAAATAAAACAATTTTCCAAAAGAGACCTAAATTTTGTATACCACCACGAGGGGCATTTTAATATCATAACAATTTGGCCATCTCCCCACTTAGGGAGTGTTCTCTTTTTTTTGGATTTTAAGAGGGGAGAAAGTTGATCAATGGGATTTTGGTTCCCATTGACCAAGAAACCCATGTTCATTTTTCATATTTATGTGGGGACTAGAGAAACTTTATTTTCCTGGGTGTCACCCCCATCTCCTAGGTGGGTAAATAACCTTCTAACCTAGGGGGAAACTTGCCAACAATTGAATGGGAAAAAATGTCCCTTTTAATAATGGATTTTTATAGATGAAATGGACATTCTCTTATTTACCTAGGAAATAAAAGAACATGGATAAATGCACTTACCCAATAAATATTTCCTAAGAAACACTTACCCAGATAAGTTACTCAGATAAATAACTTACCAAAAAACAAACAGGGCCTTAATGGGAAAGTGCCCAAAAGAAAATGCACTTTCCGTGGGCTTATTGCATAAAAGAGCACAGGTAAATTGATGAACTTCCTTCCCCCCCCCCCCGAGTGTAATTGAACTTAGATTTTCATTAACGCCCAAGCGCTGGAGCAGGTCGGAAATTAGGAATCATCTCTGGGGTTGCTTGCCTTCTTTCTGGATATGGAGATTGGGCTATCACCATACCTAAGTGAAACCTGTATCATCTGTTCTCCTTCCCTGTTCGTTTTCTTCATCTTCTCCTAATTGGGTCTTATTGTCCTGACGCCTGTAAGGCTGTAACAGTTTGAGAAAAGAGAAAACTCCTTGAAACTTAACTCATGTTTGTTGAGATGGTACAATCAAATCTAAGCGATTTTATGAGGAAGAGGCATTAAAGGGTTTGTTTGAACTTTGAAATAATTGCAATCAACAACATACCAAAATTTGATTAATATTATATGCAAATTGCAAAAAATAAAATAAATAATAATTCACATGAACCCACTATTACAAAATAACATGCATAGCATTCAAAATTAAATAACATATTACACACATGAATTATAGTTTTGTATTAATATACAGTTTCTATATTGCATTTAATTAAACTCAAAAAATACATATATTTAATACAAAATTGCTTTTGGATCCGTATGGGTTTATATCGACCCCTACGAATCCATATTAGTTTGTAACTATCCGTATCAATGATGTATTAGTGTTTTAGTATAAGGATCAAAGTATCAACTATCAATATCAGGTATCATATTGAATAGCTTGGATACAGATATGGATATAGGTATACTTTGAAACTGAATAAATGAAAGATCTAAAAATGCTTAGATGTGTTAAGGAAATGTATAAAAATCACACAAGTACATTAATAATACTAAATCTAAAGCTGAATTATCTATAAATAAGGTATAAACACATGAAAAATACACACTTTAATAGATTATAAGAAGAGAAACATTACAATCAACAATACTGAGACTCTAGAATATATATACATAATATAATAATTATCACTCCATTTCAGTTTTTATGATTAGAATTTTCAATTTTTATTGAAGTTTCTAGAAATCTTTATTTATTCAGCATTTTTATATAAATCAAGCACTATATACTTTTGTATTAGTGTGTATCAAACTGTATTGGACCATATCGATCGACATGGCCCAATATAGAGGCAGATGGTGCCAATATGCATGGCTTATGGAATAGATAGCTAGTTGTAGTGTAGCTTACATCGGTAGCCATTTATACAAATATAATACCCCTATCGATATGGACCAAAGAGATGACATATGCCTAATATATTTGGACTTAGTGGGCTTACCTTCTCCTTCGGCCCATAAACAAATACATATGGGCCATCACTCATGCCTGCCATCTGAATTCACTAATCTTTAACTGGAAATTGAAAAAGAAAAGTGTAAAATGGGCTCCACCTTCCACAACCAAGTAGCTAAAAATTATCTGGCTATGTTGATTTTTGGCAGTATCTATTAATCGAAGGTAGCCTTTGTTTTAAAATGAAGTTTCAAATTACCCAGGTAAGCAAAATGAAACTGTGCAAAGTGTTTGGTTCATGTTTTATTAAATTTTTACTTCTCTACAATTTGTTTGCTCCACTAGGTAAAGCAGTGAAGCAAAACCTTTTACCATTCAAAAGACAAACAAGTTTTGCTCAATTCCCAAGTAGAATCAAGTGTTGCCATGTTATAACCGTTTGATACACAGTAGGACTTTTGAGCAGCCATTAGGATTTAGGACCTGTGACATGTCCTCATCCAATGGGTCCCGACATGGCTTCTGAGTTCCACATGGGCAGTTTGCCAGTTTGTCGTTTGGTGGGACCCATACAACACAATGATGATGGTGTTGACCCCACCCATAAGCCATAAGCCGTAACCTGTATCTACTAAAACTCTATCCATGTTCAGTGGATGGTCAAACCGTATTTACATATGACGATACCATACTGCACCCTGGATGGAGCCTAAAGCCTTCTGCAAACAAAACAGTCAAAAGTCTCTGATCCTATGCAATTTCAGATGATAATAGTATGGGGTTGTCATGAAGCTATTCACATACAACTGCAAGTCTGCAACTGCTCTATCCCTTCTCTCCTTGTCTTTCACTCTGCCTGTGTATCAGTGTAAGAGCAAAGAACAAAATTTCCCTCCCTCTCATAACTAACATTCAGTAAAGGAAAGGGCTTAAGGCAAGTCTTCGCTCTCGGGTCTCGGCTCGGCTCGGCCTCTCAGAGTTGGTCAACTGCAAAAGGCTTTCAACCTGCTGTAAGACTTTCAGATGAATTAATTTCGAAAAGTTGGGCGTGTTTCCCAATGACCAAAAGCATTGACTTTCAAGGAAAGTATTTCACGAGAGTTTCAGTTTCAGACTTTCAACATGAAGTGTTGAACCCACTACCACCACTATCAGCCTTATGCGCCACAATTTGTTTCAACTTTCAACTTACCTGGAAATTGCCACCATCTAATTTCTCCAGCAATCAAACGCCTTCTCTGGGGGTTGTTTTTTGTGCGACAAAGACGAACCCAAGAAGCAATATAATATCCATGGCCAAGCCAACAAAACAAACTTGATACTTCAGAGGTCTAACCTCGATCAGACGTTACAACTTTTATCTTGTTGGCAAATGGTTGCCACGGAGAAGAAATACAGCAGTATCTAACAGTAACAGGAACATTCAGGAGTCAGCAGTCTGACTCACAAGTCACAAACAGTTGAATATTGAAAGACAACTGGGTCCATCTCCCAGATTTCAAGGTTAACTCAAATCAAATGGACAGAAGCAGCAATGAAGATTCACAATCTAAATGGGCTTGACGGACGTAATATATGCACTGGGTTTGCTTTTCCTCTTCCATTACTTCACAGAGTTGCTTGCAAGGAGCCATGGACATAGACTGCAGTACTGCACAAGGAAATAAGTTAAGGGGTCGCCTGAAACTTTACGGGCGGTAAACTGCTTAGGCCCTAACGAGAAGGGAATCTCAAGTCAAAGTAGATCACCTCTGCAAGTTCCGTACCTACAGATTTTGAACACCATGAATTACAGGGCCAATAATGTCCTGTTGCTGACAGACCCGTCTGACCGTATGCAACTCATGGCCTATCAAATCTGCCAGAAACTGGGTTTTCCCTTTACCTCCTCTATACTTTTGTTTGGTTATTAGCATTTTTGACGCCTCCCATGCTTTCGTTGGATCTTTAGAACAGCTTTTTGCAGTCTCGTTTTGCTAGATGATGTCGAATATATTGGTTCCACTGGACTTCATCACTACATTTTAGAGACCAAGAGAATATTTCAGCTGGTTCAGAAGCGGACTCGTTCGATCGCGACGGCCATTTAGTCTTGTCTTTTTTGTTACTCTGTGTAGGAAAATGCGAGTTGTCCGAACAGAAGTCGATAGCGACATGTTATTGATTCTACTAGACAGGGAATCTAGTGATCTTTTTTTTGTTTCTCTCTCTCTCACACACACACATTTTGAAGTTCTAAACTTGTAATTCAAAATTAACAGTTAACTGCAGCTTGCCATGGGTTATTTTGCCACTAAAACTAATAAAGGGAGCTCTAAAATAATTTCTCTTCTATGCATCAGAAAGAATTCACTTTCAACAAGATAACCATCCAGGAACAAGGAAAAAAATGAAAAATGATTTTCATTTGTTAATATTTGGTAAAACTTACAACTTACATTTCTTCTATTAGAACTGAAACAATACAACCATAATTTCAACTGCAAATCCAAAACCCAAGGAACTGATCTCCCCTCAAAACCTGTCAAGATTCGCAGCAAATTCAATGAGAGAACCCATTGAGCATCTTACCCATCTCCCTCAAGCTTCAGTAAAAGATTCCTTTTACAGCACTCTCAGCATCCACATCATTCCCAGAGGAAACTAACTCTTTATCTCCATATACAATGGATTTCCTATTTTGCATATATATACTACTCAGAAAACAATTTTAGCTGTATAATATACCTGAGAATCTTTGGAGGCTGAGTTGCTTTCCCCTCCAGCTGTACAAGCAACTAGTGACCCTCAGCCATGGCTCCAGATTCATAATATCTAAAGTAACAGAAAGATCCTCCCAGTAAAAAAAAATGGATGAGAAATTTCCTCTTATCATCCCTCTTAAACTAGAAGGTCGTGATTCTAAGTGGAACTAGATGCAGAAGATGTCGATCAAAGCTCAACTTTCATATGCCCCGGTGGCAAAGAACCTGCAAATGCAAAGGATAAATTTTAACTGTGAGCAAACCATAGGCAACACTAACTGATGATCCACATAGGATAAACAGAAACTCTACCATTTAACTCTTGGTTGTTGAAAGGAACACTAGCACCGTAGTTCATCTGGACAACATTGTGAAGCTCATCATCAACCCACATGTTGGGTAGCTGTAGATAATTAAGATGTAAGGAGACTGCAAAACCAAATTAAGACTTCCATCCATCTAAAATTAAAAAAATGCATGCTTTACTTTGTACTTTCATAATGTGGCCCACCAAAAATACCCAAAAGAAGTCTTGGCTTATGGAGACTTGCTTGCCTCACTGACATCACAAAGTAGAAGTCCTTTTCATTTTTATTTATTTATACAGCTCTCTCTCTCTCTGTTTTTTAGAGATTTATTGCCTTATACAGCTAGTTTATATACTTAATTTTTTGTCTATTTGCTAAGCATTTATCAAAAGATTCCAAGATGGAAAGAGAAAAAGTGAAATGATCCATTGGGATAACAAGTGAGGTCTCAGAAAAAAAAGGGGATTGAAAAGCAATGGGATTCAAACGAGTGGTGTTAATTTTGCAAGGAAGGCATGGTACCTGAGTTGGTTCCTTGTATCCACCACTCATTGCTGTCAATTGTGAATTAATGGTCCTTCTAAGTGCATCAGAGGGGCTTCCCATGCCAGGAATTCCAGCTTGGATCAATCCCTGTTGAGATGGATGTAGCTGGGGATGAGACATCCCCATATCTGGAGAAAAGCCCATTGTAGAAGAACCACCACGTGCCTGAAGGATCTGTTGTGAAGCAGCAAATAGTTAGAACATGAAAGAAATCAAAATAAAGTATTCATGTATAAATTTTGCATCTATGTGTTTATGCGACTTCACTTACATCTTTGGCTAGGAAGCCTTCAATATTGAAGTCCAACCGTGGATTGACAGCTGCAAGTTTCATCGACAAAAACTACAAGAGAGAACTTTTCATATTTTCAACCATGAACCAACAAAGTTCTTAATACTAACTATGGCAAATATCAACATACACTATGACAGTATCACAGTATATACAATAGGATGAGAAGCACAAAGATCCAGGATATATGCTATTTTCCTGTTCTATATCAACTATTGTGTCAAATCATGTCTCCTATGTAACCCAATTCCGGGATTCAGGTCCATTTTCCCAATCAACAATCCTTTTAAAATTTGAAGCACCTGTGAGTACACAATTACGCAATTAAGAGATTTCTAAGTCTTACAACCACCATACCTCAACCTGCCGTTGCAGCGACTGTACGTAGTTAATGATTTCATCTAGCATGACTGCCTTCCCTGTGACCTGTAAAACCAGCACACCTCATAAAATGAACCACAGACACAATTGAGTCATGAGAAATTCAGTTAAATGAACTCCCAACACCAGATAAAATACCTTGCTACAACCAGGGACAAGGTCTTGAAGAAATTTCATCCTCTCACTGATCTTTTCTCTTCGTACCTATGTTTTGACCAAAAGAAAAGGAGATATGCTATTACCAAAATCTTCATGGCAAAAATAGACTATATAAAAGAAATTTATAGTAGAAGAATGTTACTCTTTCTGCAAGGCTATGGCTGTTTGTTGCCTGACCCCTTCGTGCTCTGACATGAATGTAATCTTCTTTTGGTGCATCAGACGGCTGGGAGCTATCTTTACCATGTTTCCCAGCAGGTTTTGCAGTAGCTGATGTTAGATTTTGGTCACCTTTCTGCTTGGTTTCAGTGTTATCCTTTGCACCCTCACCAGGTACTTGGGCTCCCTTAACTTGGTCAAGCTCATTATCCTTCCATAGAAAATTACTAAAACATGTTAGAAAAATCAAAGAAGAAATAATTAAGTAGGATAGGGTAGAAATTAACAAATCAGAAGCATTATTTCTACCTGACCACTCCTTTTCCTTTTCTTGATGCTAATTCCTTTACTGGAAGAAGGATCCCCACCTGCACTCTCCAACATAGATGGATCCCCCTGCCCATCACCACTACCACTAAAATCGGCTTCATCAGACTCGTTGCTAGAAACCCCAATTCCTTGTTTTTCTTCATCAGGATGCCTCATAAAATTCCCAGTTTGTCTCTCATTTTCTATAGGATTCCCTTCAGTGGCTCCATGATCAGCAGATGGGGTGACTTCTTTGGCAGCTTCAGGCAAATGCATCTCATTGTTCTGAATTGGGGCCTGAACTGTTCCACCCTTTGAATAGGGGACCAAGGTTTGTGGAATGCTGAAAGGATTCATCATATCACTAAAATTCCCAGCATTGAAACATGAAAAACGAGCAGCTCTCTCAATGAAGTCAGCATCCGCTGGGAACTGAGATAAGCTCTGGGGAATGATTCCAGTGTTGCTTTGCAAGAACACCCCACCCTTTGATATTGTGGGATTCCAGCCTATGTCCAGAGCTTTATCAATACTAGTGCTTGAACAAACAGGAATCCCTTTCCTGATAGCTACTGTGTTGGAGGTGTTCGTACCGGTTTGTGCATTACTATCGCAAAAACCCAAGTTCAGTGAATTGGGGTGGTCCCAAATGGTTGGACAAAATGAGTTTACCAGAGAAACAGATGAACCCATCAGATCCCCTTTGCGAACAGGGATGGAATTGTCTGTAGGAACCAAACCCATTGACTGATTAGAGATATTGGCACCCCCAAATCTCCAATCCGTAGACATATTAGATGAATGATAGTTGACGGGATCTCCACTTCCCTTCTCCAAACCAAATTTATCTTTGTCACCCATATCCATCTAACCTCGACAGAAAGTGCAGCAAAAGCAGCAGGAAAAAAACAGGATATCTTTCCCTAACCAAAAACTGGTTTGAGCAAACAACGAGCAATGTACAACATCCAGAATAGTCAACCAAATAAATAGAAGCCCAAATCTGGCAAAGAAAAACAATCCCAAATGCACAAAAAACACTAAACAAAGATCAAAAATTAAATAAAGAACTCAAAAGTCTTCCAACGAACATCAAAGCTAATATAACTTCCAAAGTAGAGATGAAATCAGCTGAAAATAAATAACAAAAGATTACGAGAGTCGACTTCAAATCTTGAAATAGCAATATAAAACAAGGCCAGCCCAAGTATATTGATATGTAAAAAAACAAAAGTATATTGATATGTAATAGAAACCACACAAGTAAAACTGCTACACTCCCAGAGCTATCACTAAATTTGCTACTTCAAAATTACACAAGGGAAGAACCAAGCAACATAAACCCACTTGAAAGGCAGAGCAGAAAAGTCCCCTGAAGAAGTCAAGAAACAACAAAAAAACATTGATTTCAGGATCAAAACCAACCACTCAAAGCCCTGTAGTAAAAAATAAAAGCCCTAGTCAGAGCTTCAGACCGAGCTCTGAACCAGAGAAAGACCCGACCCAAAAGTGGAAAGGGAAAGATACCCACTTGAGATTCGCTGCTACTTTTGGCATTCTGTTCTTCATTGAAACCTTTACTGCACCTTTGTTGAATATGGGCTGCGTTCCTGTTTTTGCTCAGAAAACTGCTAAACTGCCATGTCCGGTGCCCCTCCCCTGGGAGAAAACAACCATGAACAGTGGGAAGAGATAAAGAGAAAAAGAGAGACCGGGCCTTTGAAGGGTAAAAGAGAGGATTAATGGCAAAGGTTCAGCATTTATACCCACGCTTGCATCAGAAAGAGAGCCATTGAATGATTAACCACCGCCACTGCTACTGTAAAATATACAAAAAAACACACCAAGCTTTCTTCACCACCTTTATTTTTTAAATTTTTATTTTCTTTATTTACTTTTTTTACCTTTTATTTTGTATTTTTAATCCCATATTTTAGCCATATTTATACCAGCTTTGAGCTAGCAACTGACATTGCCAACCATATAAAGATTGTTTTTTAAACTTTTCTTGCATGTCCTTCTTTAAACCTTGGGAGCAGAGTTTTAAATCTTATTTAAAGGGTTTTTGTTTGGTCAAGAATCTAACCATCCAAGATCTAATCGATTTTCTCGTCGATTTCTCTGTAGGAGATATATTGAGCTACGTTGCAGTTGCAGGGTGCTTCAGACAGACGGACGGACCCCAGATTTTGCATTATTTTAAAGGGTGCCCCCAGTCGTAACCTCACTGTGATAATTTGGATAACATATCCCTGCACCATCATCTTGATGTTCATTTTTGAAAGGACAGAAACTTTAAGTAGACTGCGAATCCTCTACTCGTACTCGTACAACCGTAGTTGTAGTTATTGCTTCGTGGTTCACGCAACTATCGGAGATACGTACGAAGCTGCTGAGACCCTGAGACGGAAGAGTGTCTTTTGACAGACAATACAAGGAATTGTAGAGGTGTTCTTAGTAATTGCGCTTCTGTACCTGGTACAACACCCTTCACCTGTATTCAAGATTGAAATGTATTCCTGAATCCTGATCCTTCGGTTAAAAGACTTTCGGAGGATTTGCAGTTCAATGCATCACGTTGGAATGATGGTGGAAGAGAATAAAATGAACCCAATAATCAATTCATGTGGAAAGGCCAACGGAGAATGGTCAAGTGAACAAAAACAGAAATGGGTATACGGATCATAAAGTCGTGGAGAATGGGTATACGGATCACGAGATTATAATGAACTATGTACATTCTTTGAACTATACACCACCGATGTGTTCATGTCTTCAATCCATGTTTGGCAAGGACAGTCATTACCCATTCTTGATATGACGAGACAACCTCCTCTTTTCTTTTCTCTTATTAACCTCAAGTACACATTGAACAAACTTTTCATAATGGTTGGATCTAGGTCGGATATTCGGGGACCCCATTTTAGATTATATGGTACTCGACTCAACTAAGCCTTGTCCCAACTCCCAATTATTATTTTAGGGTGGCATGCTTTGAATTGTAACGTGATTAGAGAATGTGAGCTCCATAACCCGGTCGAATGGAATGGAAGGTAATAACTTCGTTTCACCAACTTTCAAGCTCTATTAAACAAGTGAAGAATAAAGTGACTCTCTTTTCTTTTAGAATAATCTACAGATTCGTGACTCGTAAAAATGACATCAGATATTCCCCAAAGAAAAATTCCAGATGAAGGAAAAATCAAAGAAAAACAGCGGAAGATAGAGGAAAGATTCAATAAGGCCATCTACGGAAAAGTCATTGCGGATAAGCAGATGAATGCATTTGGAGTTCTACAAAAGGTAAAAAAATTTTGGCCAAATTGCAAATACGAAGTCATATGGCTAAAAGATGAAATATTGTGGATCATTTTTAAGAAAAAATCGGATATGGAGATCTTCTTATCTCAGGAACCATGGCTGTACCATTGATATTGCAGCGGTGGAGGCAAAATACCATCCCAAGATCACTTCCTTTCTCTGAGCTAAAAATGTTCATCCGAATAGTTGATGCTCCGATGGAAAAAAGTTTTTTTGGTCTTGGGGAGCAAAAATGGTAAGTGATGTCGCATATTTCGGCTGCTCCCTACTAGATATGATTTGGCTGCTAGCAATGACGAAAACTGGGGTAACCTGCAAGAGAGGAGCCAGAGATCCCGGGGCGGCTGACCCGGCAGGGACACTTCGATGGCTAAGTTAGCACATAGTAGCTGTAGTAGAGAGCTTGAAGATGATGAATAGTGAGTTTGAGAGCTAGAGAGCAAAGATTACGCATAAAAAACATACATACGCCCCTAGGGGTGAAGTCTTTATATACTGGAATCCTGACAGGTTAGGTGGAGTAGGTCGCTTTGTCAGATCCGTTACCGTGTTAGTTGGGAGTAACGTCTCTCGCGGTGAGGTTGGCCATCCCCGTCTGAACCAGGGAGTGGGTGAACTAATGTAGCTGTTACAAAGTACGGTTCTGAGGGATGCAGAGTACGGAGGTGCGTTCCTCGAGGTTGCCATGCGGAGGTCGATCAGACTAGGCAACGGGCTGCTCACGAAGTGTCGGGCTGCTTGGTGGCGAGCTGCTTGACTTCGCGTTTCACAAACTTGATCTGCCCCGAATGCCGAAGTGCTTCAGTACCGAAGTGATCTTGCACTGAGGTAGGCCTGTTCCGTGGTGGCTCATCTGTCCGAGCTCGACCTGTAGCGGACTTGGCACTGTTGTCCTGCTCACGAACTGGTACCGGGACGATCTTAGCCCGAAGTAACTTTAGTTCAGGGTGCTAGCGTACCCGAGGTTGCTTTGTAGCGAGCTAATCTATGTTGAGCTGTCACCCGTGTTGAGTCATGTCCGCGTGTCTCTTGATTATGAGGTCGGGCCAAATTCCCCTTCATCAATTGCCCCCCACTCCCCGAGCTAGGGGTCACAACCCAGTGCGGGCAGTTTACGACGTGACAAGTGGATTTTGGCTCGAAGTCTAGGCTGCTCTGTTAGATCGCGTGCGATTTACGCGCAAACATCACACGATCTATAGATTCCGCGGACTCCAAAAAATGCGCTAAACTATTTTTGATCTCGAGGGTAGTGCAACTGGTTTTCTTAGGATTCGTCGGATTGCTTTGATCTTGACCGTTGCTTCTTCGATACAGTGGCTATAAATAGGGAGACCCGAGACTCATTTCCTTCGCCACAAGCTTACTAGTCTTCGATCTAAGGTCACGCTAAGCTTCTTTAGCTCAGGTTTTCTAGTTCGCCACTTTCTTCCAGTTCGGTCGTCCCTCTTTGGTGAGTCTCCCTTCGCATTTCTTTTTAGTTCGATTCAGTTCCATGTCTTCCTCTAGTTCTGATAGTCTTTTAGATGAGGCCGAGGAGGGTACCTCGGCCCAGGTCGATAGCCGAGACGAGGCTACTTCGGGCTTAGAGGCAATTTGTGGCCTTCCCGAGGTACAATCACCCCGGGAGGCACGGGAGGCCTTGGGTAGTCTGGCATCCACTTCTCAACAAGGTCGGGTGCTAGACAACTTTGGCCCTTCAACAATGACCTTGGACCGGCTCCAGGCCTTAGTGTGCTGGTACAACCTCCCGAGAGAGTTCTCCTACAGTCTCCCCTTAGGTAACTTCCCTTGGGAACACAATCACAATGAGATTGTGATTTTTGAAGAGCAGCTCGTGGCTAGGCACAAACTTCCCAACAGGATCCCGGCCTGGAAACGGGATTACTTCATGGTCCGTAACCCCGAGGGGTGGTCTTTCCCAACCCATTGGAGGCCAGGCATTCAGGATTCTGGTGTTAGACTAGACCTGAAGACAAGGGAGACACTCAAGTCTTGGGTGGAGCTCGGCTTCATTTGTGCGGACTACCTCGTCGAAGATAAGCTCGTGCAGGCCGGCTTGAGTCCTAGTTGGTCACCTTGGATTTTTTGCTTTTTTAAGGTTCTGATTAGTTCGTGGCTAATCTTATTTTTCATTTTTGCAGTTACCATGTCGGTCAATGTAGAAAGTCTCTTGAGAAGCTCCCAGAAGGGGAAGAAGAGGGATGCGAAGAGATCGTGCCAGGAGGTCGGTCTTTCATCTGAGGTCTTAATCATGGAGCCGGTCTCCACTGGGCCTCCCTAGGAAGAGGTCCAACCTGCTACTCCTGAGGCGGTTACGGACGAGGACCACCGTGAGGGAGCTCGCCACCAAGAGCCGGAGAGTTCGTCTGCACCCGTGGAAGCGGGTATCGCACCAGAGAGTACTCCTCCGAGCTCGCAAGAGAGCATTATGGACTACGTGCTCGCCATGCGTAAGAGTCGGGATGTCGTCTTCCACTACAAAGTCGCGAGGTGGGCGATGTCTACGAGCCAGCTTTTGGGACTAATCGCCAGTCACTGTACGGTGGTGAGCATTATGCCTTTTTCTTCTCCCCCCCCTTTTTCTTTTCTTTTTTTTTGACTCACCTCAGTTTTCTTTTGGTAGGCTAACTCTACTGGTCATGCGTTGGCCTGCCAATCGGCGATCGGTTCAAAGGAAGCTCGTGACGCCAAGACGGAGGTGCAGAAGCTCCACCGCGAGCTGTACCTGACTCGGGGTGAGGTACTTAGAGCCAAAAAGTCGGTTGAGGCCCAGAAGCATCTGATCTTGACCCATGAAGGATAGATCTCCGCGCTGGTTGAGGAGAAGGCGCGGCTTCAGTGAGAGGTCGTGAACCTCGAGGCCACGGTTAAAGAGCGCCCCGAAATCTTCGAGACTACCATCGCAAAAGAAAGGAAAAAGGCCATCGAGAGCTTCAAAGAGTCCCCGGAGTTCAAGGCCCTGCAGGTCGAATACGGCTCGAGCTCTTATCGCTCTGGGTTCAAGCTGTGTTGGTACCTGGTCCGGCAGAAGTTCCCCGATCTCAACCTTGGTGACGTCACGATGACAGGCTTAGACTCCGGCGTGGCCAAGGCGGCGGATGAGGATCCAGACTCCCCAGGGGAGGAGAGTGATGATGAGGTTGAAGTGGTGGACCCCTCCGCGTGATAGCTTGTTGTTCTTTCTCTCTCTCTCTCTCTCTCTCTCTCTCTCTCTCTCTTTTGTTTTGAATTGTGGATGTACACCCCGGGGCCATTGAGCTCGGGTCATAGTAAAATTCCTGTACTTGAACTTTTTCATTAATGAAGTATACTGTTTCTAAGTAACCTGAGTGCAAAATAATTCTAAGTGAGAGTGAGCCCCGACCTAGGTAATTTAATGTGTAGATTACCCTAATTGTCGAGCTATCGAGTAAGATAACCAGTAAGGATAACCAAAATAAAATTTGCCCAAGTGTTTGTTACTCCAATTCTGTGTGGATTACCCCGAACCGTCGAGTTACCAAGCTTGGTAACAAGTAACGGTAACCAGAGTGGAATTTTTCCAAGTGTTTGTCGCC